AGTCAAGTCTCCCATGCAGAGCGCTTACTCTTGTGGAGTTTCAGAGGACGAGCAGGTTATTATATTTTGATTACACATTGCAAACACATGCAACAGTTAATCGTTTACAATTACGCTAAGAACATCCATTAAGAAATTCAATTTTCCTTTCAGTAAGGATGCTGCCTGAAAAGTAGTTGCTTATGTAGGCAGTGGGGCAGCTCATTAGGTTTGGAACAGAGCTATCTCTGCAAACTAGAACAATACACTATGTGCCAAGGCATACCATGTTACTCAAAATAAAAGTTCAAGAACTCAAAGTTCAAATTTCGGACATCCTCCCACAGCCTCCCATTTTTGTGACCACGCTTTAGTAGGCTACAAAAGCACCAACTGCACATGCGCAGGCTGTGTGAAGAAGCCCGTTGTTACTCGAACCTGTACAATCCATCGATAAAACAATATAAAGACAGCCGGATGTGCAATAATTCTGGGCAATTATTTGTTCACATGTTTGTTGCGGAGCGGACCATCAGCGTATGCTTTCGGTAGTATAAATACAAGTAGTCCGCGTCCGCGCTGTCTGCGTACATGTCCGGATTGCTCATGCGGAAAGTATAACACAGGCTTTACAGTGCAACTTTTTACATAAAAGCCTACTGTCTTTCGGCGATCTAGCATATTCTAAATCAGTTATGCTTTGTTTTGCCTTTTGGTGCTTGCTAGGAAATCCCTTCCTTAATAAATCTTGCATTATTAAAGAAATTGGTCACCCAAAAATGAAAATTTGCTGAAATGTTACTCACCCTTAGGCCATCCAAGACATTTCTTCATCGAAAAAGATTTGGAGAAATGTACGATTACATCACTTGCTCACCAATGGATCCTTTACAGTGAATGGGTGATGACTCATCAATGGATGCTCTGCAGTGAATGGGTGCCGTCAGAATGAGAGTCCAAACAGCTGATAAAAGCATCACTACAATATACAGCATAGCTCCAGTCCATCAATTAACATCTTGTTAAGCAAAAAGCTGTGCGTATGTAAGAAACAATCCATCATTAAGGACATTTAATTTTAACAATTGCTTCTGGCTAAAATATGAGTCCATAATCCATAATAATGCTTCCTTCAGTGAAAAATGTATCCCTGTTCTCCTCTCACATCAAAATCCACGACAGATTTGTTTTAGAACTGATTTGCTTGTACATTAAATGGTGCTTGTGCATATTTCTCTCCTGATTCAGACGAGATGACTTTTTCACTGGAGCAACGGTTTTCCAGAAGCAGCGGTTTGAAGTCTTATTAACGTCTTAATAATGAATTTATTACAAACACACAGCTTTTTGATTCACAAGACGTTAATTGATGGACTGGGTGTGTTATGGGTTATTGTGATGTTTTAATCAGCTGTTTGGACTGAGAAAACTGAGTCATATCTACAGACCAGAAGATCACAGAGATGCTTTCACTGCAGACAATAAACAACCACCTAACAACCACCCAGAACACCCTAGCAACCGCAAAGCAATGTGCTGAAAAAAATTAAAATAGTGAAAACACTTAGAAACCCCATAAATGCAAGTTTTCCCTGTGCAAAAAAAATAAAAATAAAATATATATATATATATATATCTTCTGATTTAAGACAGAACTATTTATATATGGGTCAGATGCACTATTCCCGAAACCTATACTTAAGATTTGGAGACCAAATATAACACTATAATGAATTTTTCATATTTGCCATATGCCATATATCATATATATAATACATTATATTATATGGGTTTAATGCATTTGCAGACGATCATGTAACTGACATCAAAATCCACGACAGATTTGTTTTAGAACTGATTTGCTTGTACATTAAATGGTGCTTGTGCATATTTCTCTCCTGATTCAGACGAGATGACTTTTTCACTGGAGCAACGGTTTTCCAGAAGCAGCGGTTTGAAGTCTTATTAACGTCTTAATAATGAATTTATTACAAACACACAGCTTTTTGATTCACAAGACGTTAATTGATGGACTGGGTGTGTTATGGGTTATTGTGATGTTTTAATCAGCTGTTTGGACTCTCATTCTGACGGCACCCATTCATTGCAGAGGATCCGTTGGTGAGCAAGTGATGTAATGCTAAATTTGGAGGGGGGAAAATAATTTTCGTGTAAACTATTCCTTTAATGTGCCAGCTTATGATTAATCAGTTTGTTGGGAAATCAATCTCTCTAGAATCATCTCTTTCTCACTAATATGCTCACACTGGTCAGGTACCTGAGCTAATGGCTCCCAAAGTACTTCTGTCAACGAGAAGGCTTCTATTAATTATTCAGTCTCACTGAAACCACAGTGATACCTTATGTGGTATTCACAACAGTATGCAGCCAGTGCTGACACAGGGCAAGTCAGCTTTTAGTGTATTTCCCTACTGGATTGGATAATTAGAAAAAAGGTGAAATTAGACACCTTAGAAAATATGAAATGTGTTGCAGGCTGATAGACAGTGAATGCGCGAACTCACCTCATTTCAGGTCAGTGAGACTGGGACTAGTTGTCACACAGGGCAGTTGTCAGTTGTCACATTGTTATTGGTGCAAGTTGTCCTAATTTTAAACAATTTCATTACTATTTCTTTTAGTTAAAAAAAAAGATTTTATATTTTTGAACCATTTACATACTTAGTCATTGTTATGTTGATTCAATTTTACAAGTTTATATGCTATTTAATATTATTATCCCATTGTGACAACACCCCATAAGTCAACATGCTCTGCTGCTGGGGCATGTTGTCACAATAGGTCAATGAACAAGTTCATTTCACGTTTCAAGCTAAAACAACAAAAAAACACTCGGTCACTGGCAAAACATTTACTGTAATATAATTACATACTACCAATGTTCCTTGCAAAAAAAAAAAATTGTTTCGTCAGAATAAACGGCTAGTTGTGAACGGCATCAATGGAGACAGATTCTTATTGTGCCCCATAATGGTGTAGTTGCGACATCTACCAGCAGGGGCTAACTGTTGAAGCTAACCAGCCAAACCTTGGCCCCTTGGCGAGTTAAATTCGTTCATTCACTCCGCTTGGACGCAGGGACCGAAGGGTCTGGGTTATGGCGTTATTTTAATGACAAATGTCGAGAGCGCATTATTGTAGCACGAAAGCACATTAATCTTTGATTGTCAAAAGAATTCCAGGTTCCAGATTTCACATAGTATTTTCATCGGTCAGTTGTGGAGGTCTCATTGGTTAAAGCCTATTTATATAGTACCTTCTAAAATAGTGTTTACAAAGTAGCCTACTTTACAGAGAGATGCATATGTACATTTGCAGAAAAGATCAAAATACAAACATAAAAGAGATATAGTAAAACAAAGTAGCTACAATAACCAGTTTATGTTAAAACAAAAATACAACAATAAAAAAAATCAAGGAAAGGCCCTGCACAAATCTGTTTTGAGACTACTTTTTAAAAGTGCATAATGATAACCTTTGACAATGTTTAATTCAGGTGCGAAAAGAATTAATATCTATAGCGCATGAGCACAGAGAGATTTGAGAGTGCACAGGACACAGTTTGAGTGGGAGGAGACATGTTTTAAGTGCGCGCACTCTCTTCAGGCGAGAGCAGCGTCTATCTGAGCGCGCGCGTCCGGTTTTGTGCGAGAGCAAAGGAAATCCGCGCTCGCGCATTGTATTAATGTGCTTTCGCGCGACAATAATGCGCTCTCGACATTTGTCATTAAAATAACGCCATATTGGGTGAGTTTGTGGGGAGTGAGCGAGATTATATATGGATCACGTGGGATTCTCCTTAAGTAGGCGGTGACGTCGCAGGGGCTCAGTCAGTCAGAGAGAGAAGCGGCGTCATTTCAACAGCTGCTTTATTTGAGGAAGAGGAGAGGCTTCGCTAACGTCTACTGCACTTCAGGGTTGTGTTCCGTTAGACCAGGCACAGAGAAGCCTTTTGCTGCTGTTATTCTGACAGGAAGAACCCGCGACAGCCACCCTATTCTCTTTCCACCGCTGTTTTTCCCCGTTACTTCACTGGACGTACCTCATTTTGACTGCAGACGCGCGACATAGAATGTGACCGTTGAAGTTCTTTTTTTAAATTCTTCGTTTCCGCCTCTCGCTGCTGTTTATATTAGCGGCGAAATTACAGGCATTCGGTTTTTAACTGAAGAAGGGGCGAAAGTATTGTCTCAGTGATAGTACAACAGACAATTCATCGGAAATAAAGCCTAATGTGTACAGTGCCAGACAACAATAGCTCCTGACAGATGGAAGGAGGGGTTCGGCTTCACGAATTGAAGATGGAAAACGAAGAAATGAGACTAAGTTCTTGCGAATAGCAGGAAGGAAGTGAAGACGTGTTTTTTTTTTTTTTTTTTTTTTTTGGTGGTTGTGGGGG